AGTCTAAGAAGTCTTTTCACATAAAAAGTACATGAAACACGACAAAGTCCGCTCTGTTTACAGTAAATTCAAGGCTTTGCATGTATCGTAAAATGTAATATACGCAGCGTCGATTCCGCGAAGGAATTATCGGAATTCGATGTTTCTAATAAAGTAAATTTTATCAGAAAATTCCAGCAGTACGATTGATATAGAAGACTAGAATATAGCAAACTGCATTAGGTACAAACATAGAAATTTAAATATTTTCTTTCATATTACTGCATTTTTGAAGATATTTTATATATTACTTATATTTTTTATAATATTCTTGAAGTTTCCTATATTTTTAGAATTCCAGATAATTTTTTGCCTGCAAATTCTATGATTACACTTAGTATTCAGATGATGCGATTAATTGCCCTTCCATTGTTATTCTATATATATATTACCTTTAATTAATATCAATTTAAATGTATTCTATCCTTTACACTAGCTTATATTTAAAATTTTCATAAATACTTATTTGATCAAAAACCCAGAGATTATTTCAAACTCCTATATTCTTCTGATTAAACTTTAATAAAAATTGATCAATAATTTTATTAAATTCTTTTATAAATTTTCGCTTGGTTTGATGTTTATTATAGCCACGTAGTTCGAAGAGGCGCGTCATGAATTCCTGCTTGTCGCTCGCGGCAGATGCATCCTGAATTTTCGATCGACACGGAGAAGTTTACGGTACAGTAGCGCGCTGGCACGTCCACCCCGGGAGGAGTAGGTGACAATGACGAAAAGAGACGCCATAAGTATGCGGAGGACGACGAAGCAGGGCCGATGGAGGCCATAGTCCGCGACCAGCAGGAAATCACCGAGATATAACGGTACCAGAAGCGTGGTTACATCGCATGCGTCGTCGTCGACGTCGTCCTCGTCCTCGTCGTCGCCGATAAATATAGACGACGAATCCCTGACTCTTTATTTGTAACGCTTGTAGCTAAGTGTTATCCGTCGCGGCCGTGAAGAGACCAGTTGGGTACAAGTCTCTTCTCCACGGATGGAGAACCGAGCCGGAAACAAAAATTCTTGGAAGCCTGAGAATTTTCCTAAAATATAAATTAATTATATATTTAAACACATTTTTTATATTAATTTTTTTGTATTTTTTTCATGCATGTTGAGTATAGAGTGATTCAAAATTAGGACGACCTCGTTAAACCCGCATTTGGGTTCTGTTTGCTCGGTTAATTATCGAGATTTCTACGAAGTTAATATTAACTCGCTTGCCGAAATTCGTGCCGCGTTTTAACTGGTCAAAGGTTTCAAATACTTGAAGCATATGTAGGATGAGAATCTCGAATTATCCATTCGTTTGGTTTATATAGTTACAAAAGAAATTTTTTAATTGCACAATTAAATATGTGAGACTTATTCGTTGCTTTTGATAAATATATTAATTGCTAATACTTGATTATGTCATAATCGGATAATTGGATCACACAATCCCTGCAAAGGTAGATGAAGAGTCATTTGTTACTTAAATATTTAATGCATTTAAATGAGATTTAAACAATCTTATCAAAACAAATCTCCATTTCCTATTTCATCCTTAACACAGTCACTTTATCAATTGCTTCTGAAGAAAATTATGGTATTAAATAACGCATTGAAATATTTTCTTTTCGTCTCGAGAATTGCATATTTCAACTATGAAAATAAATATTTAGAAAAAAAAAATCGAATAAATCATCGCATCTCTTACCTCTGTCATAATTACTTAATGCACGCAATTATTATGTGAACGTAAATTTATTTATAATTCTGTCGTACGCCGTTGCGATGAATCAACATAGAAAATGATATTTTAAGCAACAATGAATAATTATGCTTCACTCCTTACGTCACACACGTGCGACCATCGCCGTTTATGAATTTCCCGAGGATCTCAGCTGCGATATGGGAGAACTTCCTTGATCCCGAGATGATTCATATCCAGACGCGATACGGATACAATGGTACGGAATGCGAGAGAGATAAAGCGGACTCATCAACAATACGGGCGAGCCGCGACAAGCGACGTAATGTAGGTAATCCATAATGAGGACTTTACACACATTCCTCAACGTCGTCCGCTTTCTCTGTCCGTCTCTCTCGTGCTTGCACAAGGAGAGATTTCTCTATACGTGCATGCTTCTCGCTTCGATCCTTTCTCTACTGGCTTCCTCTCGCCTCCCTCGACCCTTGTTCTACCTGCATTAAGTCCAGTCCAGACCGTCGCGGCAGAGTAATTCGCACCGAAACGATCATTAGTTCAGGTATTCTCAACCTTATTCGCATCGCGGTATACCTTACAAGTCCTCGTTGCGGAATAAATGCATTGATAATTTTGTAGATATAATAATATAATTCTAAGATTATTAACAAATTGTCATAATTACCGGTGTTGACTTTTCATTTCTTTTACACGCGAGCTTTCATGTCGTTAAGGTAAAAAATTACACAAAATGTCTGATAAATCACGATACGATCATCTTCTTTCTAATTACAAAATTTACTAGACATCCTGCTTATAATGTGATTGAAACATATTTTTTACTTTTTTTTCTAAATTTCTTAAGCAATTCTTCGCAAACACGAAAAGGCACCCATGTGTGGAAAATTCGTCATAAAAAATTTGGCCGCAATCTAACCTGAATCCGGCCTTTTACATTACATTACAGCTCCTTACACTCATATACCTTCGTATAAACATGCAAACGCACACATATATAGCGCAAAGAAATAAAAAAGAAACAACCTTAGGCGGCGGAGGTAACCAACAGGATCAACGGTACTCCTTGGAATGAAATTATACGTAGTGTGCCCCGTGTTGATTACATAATCAATGTGTGTTGCACGGATCGCCGAGAAAAAAACTGCGGTCGCTCATTGTCAGCCATGCCTGTAGCCGTCTATTAGAAGAACAGAAGAAATAATTAATATTCACGAGGCACAAGAGTCGCGGAAAGAGATCGTATTAGGTAGAAAAAGGTCATGAGGAAAATCCGAGTCTCCTTATTAAAAATGTATGAGTCCTCTGTCCTATTTAAGCAAGATGCAATGATTTAATAACAATAAAGATGAATCTATTGTACTTGTCTTCTCTCGTCTTCCCACGCGCTTACATTATGTAATGACCAAGCAAATCTGTCGTGATCGACGTTTACACACGTATATTTATGATCATCGACATTCCGAGCTCCCGGTTATGGAGCAATCGATAAGGCACAGCATCCGGCGTGTAAATGTACGTGGCTTGCGTGCTCGGTTGCGTGACTTAATAAGCAATGTGAATGACTTAAAGGTATTTAACCGCGTTAAGCGATGCTCACGAATGCGCTAGAAACTCAGTTTATACTTGTCGGTTGCAACGAAAATTTCATTCCTCTGTATTGTTTAAAATCCGGTGGCAATTTCATCTCTTCGATAGATTATCTGAAGATATAAAAATATAACATACAATATATATATATATTTTCTAATTTTTTATTCTTCAGAATTAAAATTTTCAATTTTTTAAATAATACAGATATTTAATGATATGAGTACATAGACTACATGTAAATAAAATATAATTATGATATTTTATGTGTAAAGTATATTTTTTTTCATAATTAAAGTTATATTTTTTCAATCTAAATACGTGATAAATATTTTCTCAAAAAATATATCTAATTATAATTTAATTTTCGTACATGTCAAGAAATTAATTGGAGCGTGAATGTAGATATCAGAAAGTCTATGGAAAGTGTATCGAAAGTACACATAATAAATACACATATCGGTATACGATCGAATCATCTGTCACGCATATCGAAACTATATGTTGTTTGATTCGGTAATCTCCGGAACATAAAATAACGACTTACGTATTTATGGAACAGGAAATGATCGCGATAATGCATTATAAAAAGCGTGTGTGCGAAAGAGAAAAAATGTGCAGATTAATGCAATGCCGGTTTGCGATGGACGGACGCGATGGATGGACACGCTAGGAGATAAAAGAGCCTCTCATACCTCCCTCGTTTTCGCTCGAAAGAACCGGGAAAGGAGTTTCCGCGTGGCTGTTGTCAGGGAATTCACCGATGCCGAGCGATGTACTCGCGACCGGGCGGTGGCTTTTAAGGTAAAATACTGTAATCGAGAAGAGATGCTTATGCTATATATGGAAATACGAGAAACAAAAAACGCAAGAGCGTATTGACAGGAAACATTATTTTTAAGAGACAATCTTTTTTTATTTTACAATTTCTTCCTCAAATCTTATTATATTTTGTATATTATTTATAAACGACGAATTGAACTTACTTCTGTATAATTTTTAATAATTTATGTTATAAATCGTTTCACAAATATATTTCTAATATAGAACTTATGTAGCTCTTATTGCCTTTTTTATTTGTAGATTAAAATTTTCTAAAGAGCTTTTATAAATTATATTATATTATTTATATATACACAGATCAAATGTATTATACTTTCTCGTACACATGCATATGCATATTTCCCGCAGATGTAATATAATTTAATTACACATAAATTATTTATTACTAATTAGCATCATTTAGGAGAATTAAATGAATGACGTTGTTAATTAAGTTTTAATTCACTTGAAACGAGCAAGCATACAAAATTGCTAAAAGTCGAAAGGGGGACGAGGAAGAAGGGGTGGTTGGAATGTGTGTAGCGAATGGGGTCGCTGTCGTTGAAGGCAAACAACTGCGTCCCTCGGCTTCTCCTGGCAAGTTTCCTTCGAATGCTACGGAAGACGATGCCCATTCACATTCCCGAGGTGACTAATTCGCATTATCTCCCCACGTGACTCACGTATACGCGCTCGTATCCTGGTATTAGAAATTTCGAACACATCGTTCGAGAATAGTAGTTTTACGAGAGTTCTTTGAGTGCTTTGTTTTGCGGAATAAAAAGTCAAAAAGATGTATACGTTTCATATTTTTATATACAACATTTCTTATTTTTTAATACAGACTTATCGTTAATTTGTATTTTGTATATCTATGTGTGTGTATTTTAAGACTATTCCCTATTTTATTTCCTAGTTTAGGAAAATTATACAGTTTCCCGTAAGTAATTTTTTTTTTATTATATTGGTAGAAATCAGAGTAATTATAAGATAGTCATAAATTTATGGAAAATATATCACATTGTTTAGATAAACGTACAAACATAAACATAATTTTATTTAATTAAAAAATTTATTTCTAACTGACTTATTTACTTTGTAATCTTATTTTACAACTAAATAAATTAACGATATGTAAAACTGGATTACGTTTGATGTTTCCTATATTAATTTTAAGATGAAAAAATGCCCCCTATATATACCCCTTCAGTTATCAAACTATAAATAGAGATGGAAATATTCTGATGAGATTTCCTTACATTTTTGTCTTTTATCAATTACAAGTAACGAAGAGACGGTAGCAGGATTCTTCCGGTTTAATTAAAGTTATAAGCGGTTTATCGTCGCGCATTGTTATCCACATACCCGGATTTAATCGTATCATATAAAAATCATCAAGAGACGGAATAACAGGCTCGCTCAAAGTTTGATTTCCAGAATCGATTCTTCCGTCTGCGTAACCAAGCTCTTGACATTCAAACTTCGCTTCTTCCTGCGATGTTACTGGCGACGAAAAACATTTAGAATGCCATACTCCATAGGATCGTTGTTTCACTTCTCCTGTGCCAGGTCTACAAAGTAATTTATCATTTGCAAATATTCATTATTTTTTTTTTACAAATTTTTTACAAAAAATTATTATCGTGTAATTATTATTAAGTCATATTACAAGTTCATAAGATTTTGCATCTGACCTGTTGTCTGTCGATTCTTCGATCTTTATGCATTCTTCTTCGTCTTCGCCATCTGGGCAATCTTCGTCACCATCGCACACGAAATCTTGCGGGATGCAAGTAACGTTGTTGATATTTCTGTGCGAATATCGAGCATTTACAATTTTTACAATGTATGTATACATTATTAATTATTTTTCTCCATATGTAAGTTCGAGATTAATTTATATATGGAACTTAGTAATCTCAAACCAAGAGATACAGTTCCGAAGAATTAATTTTTCGCGCTTGGGCTCTATTGGCCGATTTAAAATTCATATATTATTATTATTATTAATATTGAGAGCCGACATATATTTCTTATCTGATTATTAATTATAATAATTTCTCTATATATTCATCTTCTATTCTACGATGTTTTCGAAAGTTTCAGAGCTTTGAATAATATTTTACGGATAATATCAAAATGTTGATTTATGTCTTACGCGTTGCACTTGAAGCTGGTTTGTGTGCATTGACACATTTCCGGCGACTCATCGGTTTTATCGAGACAATGTCGCACACCATCGCACAGCCGTTTCGGTATTGTTAGGCTCAAATAATCCGCACAGGTGCATTTATGGGTTCGTCCGTTCCGTCTGAGCAGTCCACTTTAGCGTCACAAAATGCACCCTTCGAAATGCACTCGCCATTCTTGCACTGCAACTCCGACTTTGCGCATTCTAAAAAAATTAAAGGAACATGAATTTATGTAAAAGAGAAAATTAATTTGCAAAAATACCGATTAATTTAATAAATCTAACAAGTCAACCAATATGATAGATGCGATTTTAAATTGATTTGTGTTATAAATTGATTTGATAAAATTACATACCTTTAAATTTATTATTATCGCTGTTCTGTTGCAGTTTGTACATGCACATATCGTCATTCTCGTCCGCGCCATCTCGGCAATCCATGATATTGTCACATACTTGATTCCAAGGGACACATTGTCCTATATTGCATCGAACACCGTCGCACGTCGGTTCAGGTGTTGGTTTCGGCTCCGATTCTACAACGCAACAATGGAAACATTAAATTATATAGAAACAAATAAAGATTAATCAAATAAATAGATTGATGATATAAAAATATTTTTGCTTCAAAAAATATCTGCATTAAAATTTACCCAAAGCATGTATAAGGAAAGCGTGGATGTAATCGATGCTCGTCAAATTTCGCGTGTTTCGAAAACTGCAAAAGTTGTTTTCGTGAAATACTGCCGCGGGATACCATCCTTTTTCGCTGCGACAAAATACTGTTCCACTCCAATCTGATAAAGTTTCATTAACCTAGAAAGAAAAGATGAAATATTGAAATTTAAGATTAATCAAAATTAATATTGGTCGCTAGTGGTGAAAATAAACTTAGCAAACTTGATTTCGACAAAACTAGACGAAACGTCGTGCAAGAATTAAATAAAATTTGCTAGTTACGTCGAAATCAAGTTTGCTAAGTTTATTAAAATTTAATTTTGATCTACCTATGTTTTAGAAAATTAATAGAAATAAGACACGCAATTAAAAATAGATATGTGTAATAATAGATACAAACAATTATAGTTTATTATTATAAATTTTATATATATGTTATACTCACCGGACATTCGAAACCTGAAAGTTCAACAAAACAGCGATAACAATTGTCGCAATTTTCAAGGACCGGTCGTAGAAAGATTGATCTTGTCACGTGCTCCTTGTCTGTACCAAGAGCAACGCAAAAATCGTTCTTCGCTGGCGGATAGATTCTGTAAAAATTCGGTTAGTCAGTATAAATAAATATTTGATTTATTATATTGAGAGGCATAAATGTGTATGTATGATTAAAGTACGCACTTCTTTTCTAGAAATAGTGGCTGCGTGTAACGAGTAAAATTCACTGCAGTTTTCAAATGGAGCAATGAGGCTTCCGACGTTTTCACGTTCCTGATTTCGTCAACGATCGAGATTTGTTGATAAGGTCCGTCGACGTAGAGATACGAACGACTTTGTCCGAGCAGTGCCGTCGTATAATTCTCCGATAATCTGTAATTTATTTTTTGTTACACCTTTTTATTTGTAGTCGAAGGAGTTCAATATAAAAGACTTGTATTTGAATTTATAATTATTTGTTGCGATGAAGTGTATTAAAATTATAATTATTTTTATGTAACTTTTTATAGATTTACTTGAAAAGAGCTGCAATGACAGCCAAAACGTTGTATTTTAACTAATTATTTATAATAAATAATTGCCAGTTTGGTCGACTTTTACCATTGAGGAAAGATTTTTATAAAAGAATCACAAGACACTTAATGCCTATTTAATGGACGTAACGAAAAAATAATTTTAAGATGAAGAAAAATTTTGGAGAACATGGAAAATTGATTTACTTGATGTCTTTCGTGCAGCTCGAGCTGGACAGAAGCCAGTCTGGTTCCAAAAGTAAGGCCGAGCAACGATAATGGCCGTCGACGAAGATAGCAGCCAGCCACGGCCACAAGTAGTGACTTCCGCTTTTCGGATTGACGATCAGGTGTGTGTCGACACTGCTGCTCAAAACCGGTCTGCAACGAATCCGTAATGTCGTACAGAGCTCGTCTTCTTCGCTCGACGCGACGTACTCCGGTGAAGGTTCGTAACTTGTCAAGTTATACCTTCGCCAGAATCTCTTCTTCAGCAACGTGTTGTTCGCGACGACTTTATCCATTGCCTGCAGATTCCTGCACGCGAAAGAGATCTTTCTTTAATTACATTTTTTAATTACATTTAAACAGACTTTTTAAATTGTAATTTCAGTTACTTTTTAATTAATTAAATTCATTCTTCTACATTTTAAATAAAGTATTGTCATAATGTAATATACATATTTGAAAAGTTGCTTGTGAAAAGAAAAATGCCACATTTATAGAATTATTAAAAGAATTATTATAAAAGAAATTAGCAATTAGAAATTAGAATTATTATAAATCCAGGGAGACATACGCAAATCCAAGATATTCGCACAAGTTACGTCCAATTGTCGACGTTATGGTGTTATTATTCAAAATTTCTTCTTCAAGACACTGTACCCGCCATTCTCCATTGTCATGTCTACTGAGCAAACCCTCCATCTTCAAAACTGGGTGATCATCGCTGTGTACATTGACGTATTCCCCATCAGTCAATACAACTAAAAAAAATGGGTGATCAATGTCAGTTAATTTAATTAGTTTTTAGACACGTATCATCTAAAATTTCACTTACGACAATCGAGTTCATCCTCGTTGAGAGGGCAATCAAATTCGCCGTCGCATCTCTTCATCATCGGGATGCACCCATCGCTTTTGCTGCAGTAAAATTCATCGGTTTTGCATATATCTAAAACGAGATTAATTATTCGTCAACTAGAAAGTCCTATGACGGGCTCATGTTTGACCGCGTACCGCAATCTTTCTCGTCCGTTTCATCGTCACAATCGAGATGTCCGTCGCAAATCGCCATCGGCTGCTTATTCGACAGGTAATCTCGGCACGTGCAGTCCTTTTCATCGGTGGCATCCTCGCAATCCACGTGCTTGTCGCATCTCTTATTAATCGTTATAGTTTGAATCAAACTAAAAAAAAGGAGAAAAATATATTAATTTTCTCAAAAACTAAATTTTCCAATTTATATATTATTATATAATAGGACAAATATTTTCCACAACTCGCCTTTTGCATGTGAACGTTAATCTAGCGCTTGTTGTTTCCGGTGTAACTGCATAGACATCTGCAGTATTAAATTCTTCGTCAATATTCTGCGTTTCGTAGAAGAAGCGGTGAGAAGTAACAATGGAGACTGCTTCCGTGCTCATTTCTGTGATACTAATTTCTTACGAAACATAAAATAAATATATATATAAATTTAAAAAAATATATACATATGTATATATATTTTATTAAAAAAATAAGAAGCTTATTACTTATAATAAAATCATAAAAAAAATAAATTGCGTAACTTACGATTTTTCATATCATCGTCGGATATCTCATCTTGCGATTTCCCAACTTCGAAATCCGATTGCTTGTACTTTCTATCATTCATATTCAAAGTGGGCGGCAATACTTCAAACGGATAACATCCGAGCTCATCTTCTCCGTTCAAGCAATCGATAGCTTGATCGCAACGTTCTTCTATCGGTAAACATTTTCCATCGTCGCAGCTGAATGTTGGACACTTGGGTAATGGTCTTTTATTATTATTTTTGTAAAAGGACTCCGTATTATTACCTGTAAAATAACGTATTGTAAAATAAATATATAAAAAAGCGCAATATTTAGGGCGAGTTTATCCTTTTTCAAATATTTATAATAATTTGCGAAAATATTTTCCGTCCGTTTAATTATTTATAAAAAAATTGAAGCCTTACTTAACGTCACTTGTTGAATCCAGTCCACGAAATAACTTATTTTCATATAAACACCGGGCTCGTTCGGACGTGCGCATCCATCACCGTGACTTACTAAGCCCGCCACGTACCATTGTGAATCAAAATTTCGATTTCTATATGAAAACAATATTTTTATAGCAATAGTGAAAGTGAAAGGAGACATTTTCACTGCTCTACTTCTTCATTTTTACCTGCACATCAAAGGACCGCCACTGTCACCTTGACAAGTGTCCTGGCCACCTTCAGGATATCCTGCGCAGATCGTGGCGTCGTTCTGATCGGACAGATGATTGCACTTTGGCAAAATCGGTACTTCGACTTCTCGCAAATAATCCGCTAAAACAAAATTTTATTTTCAAATAAAAAACACAGCCAGATTTTTTAATGTCACTAAATTTTACAATATATATCAGAAAGATTGAAATATATTGAACGAGCATTAATATATCTAATTAAAATTTATCTTACAATTTGGTCCATCTTCTTTTAAGGCTCCCCATCCAATGGCAATGCACATAGATTGCGGAGATGGGCCCATTTTCCATTCAGGGCCCATGACGTTTGGTGACGGTAAGCAAACCTGGCGGACCCATCGATTGAAGAGGAACGGTTTATCTAGCATGACAATCGATACGTCGTTCTGCATATTTTCACTTTCATAGTCAGGATGAAGAATAACGAGTTTCGCTTTTCTCGACTGAGCTGTCGGTGAAAATGAAAACCGCCTGAGTAGGCCAGCTTGTACTTCATAATAGTGCTTTTCATATCTGAAATATATTTCAATGTTTAAAATATATTTTAAAAAATATTACATATTATTTATATATATATTTAAAAAATATTATATATTATTTATATATATTTAAAAAAATTAAAAAAGTCTCATCAGTTTCTTTGCTCATTTGTTATAAAGTTACAAGTTGGAAACGCTTGAAAAGCACTTCTTACCCTTCCATGCAATGACTCGCGGTGAGTACGTAGATTTCGCTGAGAATAACGCCGCCGCAGTGAAAAAGACCGTCCTTATAAATGGCAACCAAGAAGGGCCAAGCTCTCGGCTGACTCGCTCGACCACCTACTACTCGCAATTGCGCTCCGACGAGGGTGTTGTTTTCATCTTGCTCCTTTTCGAGCGCCGAGCGATTCGCGTTCAATAGCCCTAGTGTTTGCTGATAAAGTTTACTTATGCCAAATTTATGCGAGATGTGTTGCTCCTTCGGCTGTTCTTTCGATACAAAATCGTTCCTTATGATATCGGCAGAACGGAAGGAATCGTAATGATTTTTTATGCCACACGGTAACGGTGGACACTTGACGTATATTGCTACACCCGAACACGACGTCAATTTGATCTGTCCGTTGATTTCTTTCACGTAAGGATCTTGGAAGGTATTTTTAGGCACACGTACGATTCGTATATCCGGCATCGCTCTATAAAAATGTATCGATATAATAAGAATTTGCTGATAACAAATTAAAAATTTTAATCAGATTATTGTCAGCGTATTTTCTCATCTTAATTTCAAATATAATATGTGTCTGATATACGTATGCTGCATTAGATATTGTATAACAATTGAAATGTGACGTACGTTAACGACTGGTCCATTTCCGATACGCAAGCATTAATTGCCCAAGAAGCTGTGGCCGAACAAACGGGATACCATTGTCCTTGTATGTTTTTATGTAAATATCCTTGGGTGTAACCAACTGTAGATATCTAAAAAATAATAATATAATTAATAAGTAATAATATAATAATAAATAACAATAAATCAAAGAGATTAATCTTATATATTTAAATGATTAAAAAATGTGAACACATTTTGCTCGTACATCTTTTGGACTTATATATGATTCCGAAAGTATAGTGCAGTCTAACTCGTCCTTTCCGTTGGAACATTGTTTAATACCATCACAACGCTGCGAAAGTGGCACACAATTATGTCGTAGTGGTTTATTCGAGTTATAATTGCAACTGAAAGAGTCTGCTGGACAATCTGAAAATTAAATGATTTTAATGCGATATACAAGATAATCAGTCACTACGATTTTTAAGGCACTTATGATAATTTGACAAAAAAAGTTATAAGCAGAAATGGATCAGTTTCTAAACAACAGATTACAATAATAAAAATTGATTGAACATTTCTTATTTGATAGATAAACAAGATCATTTTTTTAGATAAAATTAATTGTATTGTATAACTACACACATAATTATACACATGTATAACTAGCTTTTCGGCTCAAAGCATGTCTAATTTTTTAGATTTATATATTTTTTTATGCTGGCTTAAAAGTTATTTATTCATAATATTTTTCTTTTTTCGATTTTCATTAAATTGATACCAAAATGTTGCAAATTTTTCGGAAAAGACTGCTGTGTGGTTTATTGTTAAATTTTAAAATTTTTTAAAATATTATATATTTTATTAACACTTTAATGAATATTTTATTTACTTATATTCAATATCCCCTGATTTTTTATTGATATTCTTGTGGTTTCTCTCATCGTTATTTTTTGTAACAGCTAAATTGCCCAACACATTGATAGAAATTTAAAAAAAATTTTTTTATTCACGAATACATATCCTCCTTCATGAGGAAAAAATTATTTTTTACATAAAAACAAACCACACAGCTAAAAATGTGCAACATTTTGATACCAATTTCGAGGAAATCGGTCCATAGATGTAGACTTTAGTCATTTTTTTAAATCGATGTAAGACTTTGCTACATGTATTATAAGAAAAGATGTTATAAAAAAGTAAATCTTTAATCTGTAACCTTTGTAACAAAATTTAAAATAGAATTTTCTTTATAATTTTATAAGTAGTGTAACCTTTGTAACAAAATTTAAAATAGAATTTTCTTTATAATTTTATAAGTCGTGTAATATAGAAAACATTTGAAAAATACAATACATTTAAAATATGCATATATTTAGGATTTTGTCATATGTAAAATTAAAAATAGATTTTATAAATTTTGGCTGCAAATTTATAGATCGCCTAAAGCGAAGCAGTAATATGCGTTTTATAAGAAACACTTTTACATGGAAGAAAATTTCGTGGGTAAAGTAGCTTATATAAACGTAGCTAGTATTTAGCGTCATCTGGTGAACATACATAGTGATATTGAGAAAAAAATATTACATTTACATAATTTTCTTATTATTATTTCAACAACAAATTTATTAACTATTATTTTATTTTTATCAAATTATAAATAATTAATTTTTTTACATGAAAGAACAATAAGACAAGAAATGTGATGCTCAGTTGATCGCTTAGGTTTCTGTTATATCGTATATATTGTTTCAATTTTCTCTTGTTAAAGTTTACGTAATGTTATATAATGTTTTAAATTGGAAAATTGAAAAATTATTATTTTAAATCAATTATTTAAAAAATATGTAAATACCCGAAAAATATAATATGGTCAGTGTAAATATATATTGGTGACATATAATAGTAAATATATGCAAAGATCTGATTACGTGTGTAATTTTATATAATTGTATATTATTTATAACTGATAATATATAATTATATGATCACAGTTAATATCAGATATGACGATTAACTTGGACGAGAATGTTGTTGAGAATTATATATATATAAAAAAAATAAATTATATATATAGAAAAAATAAATTATATATATATATATATATATATATAAATAATTTTTGTAATTATATAAGATCATATACAGTCAATTTATATGATTTTATATAATTACAAAAATTTATTTTTTCTCGAATTACAAAAAGAAAAGATTTAATGAATTATCTGTAATTTACCGAAACAGCCGAGCTCGTCCTCTCCATGTGGACAATCAAAATAACCATCACAAATTTGATTTCGTAATACTCGATCCCTGCAAGAGCAATTCGTCTCGTCACTGACATCAAAGCAATTAGCATAGCCATCACATCTATTCGTCTTCGGAATGCAAAATAGATTATCGCACTGATAATAATGTTTGGGACATTTGTACGCTGAAACAATAATCATATTATTAAAAGCAATAAATTCTAATTTGCTTTGTATTTTCTTCGAAAATTTCAACTCAATTTAAACTAAAAATTTTTTTAACAAATAAATGCTAACGATCAGAAAAAGAACACAAGTAAGCTGCAAGTCAGACACTTTGAAATAACTTTTACGGAAAATCCACGACATTTCGTTTACTTGAATAATCCCATGCGGCAATCCCAGCTTTTGGAAAAATCCTTTCCCGCGAAGAATCTTTCATTTTGTTAGCAGAGAAGTGATCGGATTGCAACGTGTCAGGAATCGACGGATAGTGAAGAGTCGGCAATGACATGTAGCCGCAGAAATACGGCTTTCTTGTCATCGGCTGCTGATTGATCGGCGATACGTTTGATGGAACGGATCTCGTAAGATCAGTATTTTCTCCCGCCGGTTGAATCTGCGCCTGATTTCCGGCATAACCAAATCCCGGTGTAAATTGCATCTTATTCGTCTGTAGTTCACGATTTTGAGCGACGGAAGGATCAAAGATGCAGACCGGATGTAGCATTGTGTGTAACATCTGCAATTGCTTTTGGAAGGGTTTCATGCTCTCCGTAGTTGCCTCGATAGATTCGTCGCTGTTCTCCATCTGAGAACGATCGTTCGATGTGAGTTCATTAAGAAAACTATGATCTCCCGATGATTCTGAAACTGTTGTGCGTATCCTTTAAAAATTGCATCACATTTTGGAAAAATTATATTTGCGTATGATAATTAACGAAGCAAAAGTTATAGCGGTTTAGAAAAAATTCATATTTTTATTTTAATATCGTATGAGTAAAGAAAAGTTAAACAAACTTAGAACATTTCATTTAAAGTTACGTCAAACTTTTTACATTATAAATGAATTTCCCGAGACTTTATTCGGAACAGAAAACTAAAATTATGCAATTCATATAATGAATATTTACTACATGCTCTCGATTATAATATATTTGCATAAGACTTTAAAGAGAATATTTCGAGTGAAAGAAATCGGCTGGAAAAATAAGTAGAAAATAGTTTGAATTTAGAGAGAGCGTTGACAGAGCAAAAGTAATGTAATCAGTAAATCTGGTGTGCGTATCTTCGCTAGCATCTTGACGTTTAATTATTATTTATTTCACTCTTGCTCTTCTATGCAGCAACCTACCGTTTATTACCGTAGTAGCCGATTGATTTTCCGGGTATCCTTCAAATGAAGGTTGCTCTGAAGGATTCACTGTGCTGTCATCGGGGTTGTCGATTCCGGTCACGTCGTGTCCTGCTGGCATACTCGTCACGTTTTCAGCAATCGCGATCTGTGTTGTTAGATTGATGATATACTGCGTATTCGTCTCGGTTGAATGATCTATTTCACCATTGGATATTGCATCGTCTTTCGTTACAGTATATTGCGTCGTGCTACTGGATTCTGTGGTATTAAACTGCAGCGTTACCATTTTGCTCGTGGTACCTTCGCTTTCAATTTGTTGATCAGTACTTGATACAGTGGCAAAACTGTTCTCATCGATTCCCATCGTGCGCAAATCGACTGTGGTTGGATTATCTACCTGTTGGCTGCTATAATTCGTGCGATTGGTTGATAAAGCGGTGGTTGGCGATATATCATCCTCCAACGATCGATCTACAGAATTCTGCGATACATCGTTTATAAGCGAATCCGTCACTTGACCTTTCGCCGCTTCCGTCCGATTAATTTCCGCCGGTTTAGCATCGTCCAGCAATTCGATGGCGGAAATGCCGAAATCGTTGGGGCGATTTTGCTCGACGTAATCATTAGATAAATATTCATCTCGCGTTCGCGGCGTAGAATCCTCATCGAGCTTTTTCGCGACGGCCGATTGCGAATTTTTGCACCGCAGACAATTCAAAATGTCCGACATGGATACATTATTTCCGTCGCTCAGCGCGTTACTCCTGAGAGTCGCGAGATAGCCTTCCATCGTCTGCACCAGCTTCTTGCATCGTTCCTTGTTCATCTCGCAGTCCCTCCTCGAGCGCGATATCTCTCGTTTAAAACGTATGTTCGTCGTCGCAAAGTAGTCGCGTTCCGTAATTGGCATTATCTCGTTTATGAGCGCCTCATCCTTGAGAAGTGAATTTCCATCGATCACTTTTTCCGTCGAATCTTCGTCAAAGTTCCAAATCAGCACCCGTTGTGTAAATGTTATTTCCGGCAGAGTGTGAACTGAAATGCGAAATGAGCAAAAGAGTTGATGTTGTATGAAAATCGAGGTTTTTACGAAGTGACTGCTGACGAAAATAAAATATACGTCCAGCTCTTTTCACTTATCGTACATGTGATAGCTACTAACCTTTATCACTCACGACTATTCTAACAAAACTAATTGAGAACTTCAACACGATTAAGATTATCAGGACGACTGATATTACAGAAGCAATACATTTCTTTGTACAATAGCGTTTGCTTGGCTTACATCTGTCTCGTGTTTCGCCTGAAATCACATGTAATATAAATCTCAAATTATCGTAGAGATACAATATCGTAAAGATATTTATATAATACGTTATATTATGTTATATATGTTATCATTATCGAAGAACAAATTTTTAATACAAGTTCAATGTATTATAATAATATATTGTTATCTCTCATATTTCTTTTATAATAGTAACATATTCTTTAAAGTTTTCAACAAAGATAAATTATATCTCTTGTATCTCTCAAAATTTACCTATATTTCTAGAATCTATCAACACAGTGCAAGTTGATGAATGGATTGGAACGTCAACCATCTGATGTTTCGGCGAGATTTGATCTTTATCGAACGTTTCACCTGATTTATTCGCGGGATGCACTAATTGTTAAAAAATAATCATTAAGATTGAAATTAATTACGCATTAATTAAATTCCATCATATTGTATAAATTTCTATGCAAAAATGCATGTTTCAATTACTTACTTTTGCGAGTCCTTTTAAATTATTTCTTGAAACTATACTTTTTCGCAAGAAATGTTTTTTATGAGTCGTCGATCCTCACCCTAGATTAGACCGACGACGACTAACTCAAAACTTGATAGGCAGAGTCGTTCCTCGTCAATGGTGCGTCAGCGAAAAATTGCTGACAGCTTATTTCGTCTCCTGTTGCATTCATGTGAATGAACCCTATACACGTATTTCAATAAGTGTCGTCAATTGAAGAACTTGAAATAAAATCCTGAGGTTTTTACAAAAAAAAAAAATACAAAGTAAATTTAAATGCAAATTACATAGACAAGCTTAATGCACAAAATTAATTGGCTTCTCATTAAACAGATTCGAGAATTCAAATTCCCTCGTCTCGCGGTCTTTTATTACGTTTGAGACTAAAAAGTGCAAACAACGCTCGTGATTAATGCATCTCATTTTTACATTGAATTGAATGAAATTTTTTCTCTCTCAAGCTCTCGACCTCGATGAGAAACTATTACTCTTTATTATAGAAAAAGTTTCACATCTTGCAAAGTTACTTCTGTGTTAGAAAAAAAAACAGATAGAAAATTGTATAATTAGTTTGTGCATTTGCTTAATCGTATGATTTTATGCACGTTTTCATTCTCATAAAAATTAATTTGAATATAGCATTTATCGGAAAAAACTCGTCTTTAAAAAACAAATAAGGCGCTTTTACTTGTACAACGTAAAAACTGTTAAACAAAGTAAGAATTGTTTAATATAATATAATGTTCGAAATAAATGTACATTTTTATACATAGATATAATATTCGAGATATTTGAGAAATAGATAAAGGAATAAAAAGAATGGGTTATAGTGGATTTTCTCATTGTAAGGAAAGTTATTTTAATGCACAAAAGACGAGGTACGTATATATATAATACTATTTCTAGGGATTGGAAAATCGAACTATCGGAGCAAATCAAACGAGAAGCGATTGGTGCTCCAAATTATGTTTTCGATGTAACGCAGTATTTCGTATCATTTCGTGTTCCAACTATAATACGAAGCAATTATATGGTTTGGTAAAGTATTAATGAGATAAGTTTCTATCAATATATATGTGTATATATAGGTCATGCTTTTCTATATTGCGCTACAAATTGACTGCGACTCGATCGCTACAAATTAGTGTGAATGGTAACACACAGTCTTACTAATAAATCTCTCGCAATTCCATAATACTTTCTCGCTTTTTTTATAATGTTTATTTCTAAATAAATTTCTGAGATAAGATGACTCATATAAAATTTGAAATGTTTCGGAATAATTTTACGACGATAGCAATTAATAAGTTTGAATTCGTAATGAAAATGTTTCTGGAGCGTGGAAGAAGACAGATGTAACGACTAGCTGAAAACTGAGACGTGATGTTGTGATACGCGAAATATAACCGATGAAAATAACAGTATTAATCGGTTCATGCAGAAATAATAGAATTGTGTTTTCGATGTAACGCAATATTTCGTATCATTTCTCGTTCCAATTATTGCGTATGTACACGCATCAGCATGCAATGTGCTAGTCTGTCACATGTTCGAACATTGGAACGTTAAAATGATGCTATGGCAAAGAGAGGAAACGCGATACTTCCTGAAACTTGTAAGGCCAAAAATAACGAGTCATTGCATACGAAATGTTTTAATTTCGAAAAGTTCTTTTCAATTTTATAGAGATCGCTGTTTATAAAGTATAAACACTTTCTAAGCTCTTTTTCATTTTTCAACTTTTACATTTAATCTCGAAATAAGATTATAAAAATGGCGCTTGTCATCCTGAGGAAGGCTGCTCTTTTAATTATATATTTCTTTCTCTTCTCAGAAATACAAAACAACGAGTTTACATACATCTCGCATTTTGGTATAATTTAATTTTTCAAATCAATTATTTTTCTCATTATCACAATCATTATGCGAGTCGATAATTCGATTAGCATGCGTACACTATCGATACACCAGTACTTTGTTTGTTGAGCTAAAATTATTCGCGTTATTATAGCGACGATAATTGCACAATCAGTCTCCTTTTACTTTCTCTCGTGCACAAGCCACCTGTGGATCGATGAAAGTGACAGTCTGTGCTCGAACGTTACGCGAAATATACAATTGTATATACATACGTATCGCATTTTATTTACATATATCGATATTCTTACAATTGTAATTTGCATTAATCTGATGGAAATCGTACGATCGAATGCCGTAAGAAGGCGCGAATCATCGCGATTATCGCTAACTCGGTTGTGTTACAAATCACGAGTGTCTGAAAACAATGCGATAAGTTGATGATACTGATGTTTCATTTGATATGTGACGCATTTAATCGCAAACGTGTCGAAGAGATGTTTTTGATTTTTTATGCGATATCAATAATGTAATTAAGTGAGAATCAAGTTGAATACAATGTTTCTAAATTTGTCAAAAGTGTATTGAATTAATTTTGAGCGACATTATATAGAAATAATCAATTTGAGTTTTAATTTAATAATCGATAAATGTGATATATTTACGTAAGTTTTTACTTAACTTTTAAACATTAAACTTATGTACAATGTTGTAATAATAGCGAGATATTTTTTATAATACGTAAGTTATCCTGTGAAAATCCGTAATCCGAAAGAAAACATCGCAATGTAAATTTTTGCAAGAGTCTCGTTTCTATAAAAAAAGAAAAAACGAAAAGGGAACCTTCTGCAAACCATTTAAAGAGAGATAAATCATTTTGAGATGATTACAATCTGTTACGCTAAACCGAGAATCTACAAGAGAATAATCCTAATGACATGCGCATTTGTAAGTATTTATTTGTAGCTTATTTATTAACTCGCATTAATTATAAACTTGCATTATAATATTTTGTTGCAATATTATTTAAATGCAAAAAGATGGCGATGGTCACGTTGCATCGCAATATTTCGCGACAAATATTATTGCTCCGCGATTACATACGCTGAATTAATGTACATGGTACGTGCATATTTTTGGCCCGAAGGATTTAAGATCGGAGATTGCTTTCGCTTCGAAAAATCACGAGAGAGATAATCGAGAAAATAATGCTCGAAATGTTATGCACGGAATCCTCATATCGGAGTCTCAAGGGAAATAAGAGCACTCAGGGTATCTGTTTGTTTTTTATATATATGTATGCAACTGTATACATAATATTTACTGTCGACTATTTGCTCTCTCATGGGCAATATTTTCCTCGTATTTTCTTGAATTATCACAGAGATATTTAATTACACTTGACAGAATTAATTCATGTGTTTGGAGTTTGTGAGTGTATGCCTTTATGCTCCAGAAAATGTAAATCGGAAAATTGTTTAAAACACAGTCGCTTTATATCCTGAAATACCTCTGATATATTTATTTATTTATTTATTTCTGTAACATATCAAAGTGATCAAAAATGATTACACGCAATATTTTTTATGTGCGAATAAAAATTGTAATATAAAAATATAAATTATATATTTTCTATTGTAATATGTATTTTAAAAGAATAATAATTTTCTATTTAATTTCAAAATGAAGTAATTAGCTAGTCTAACCATTAATTTGGCCAATCAATATTCATGAAATATTTATTGCTTATATTATATAAACGCGTATTGGATATATGTATATATTATTCCATATCTTTGTTCCATGCTTATAATTAAACGTTTTAATCACTATTATGCATTGAATTCATTATTTGCGTTTATGTCGAGATTATTATATCATTGTTGCTTAATAAATCAGGAAATATATCATCTTAAAGATAAAATTGATGTCAATACTGATTCTAAATGCGGCACGTGGCCTAATCAATAATATAAGTCTTAAGCTTCAAATTAAACTCTATTATCTCATTGAAAATTCTTATAATTAGTGCGGCTTATAATCGAATTTATTTCGATTTCAATAAATTGTTTTTTTTTTATAATTACTCCAACATTCATGAATCACACATATATATAACATACTCTTTCGCCAGCGCGCATTTTGATCACGACACAATTCCGTGGCAATTGTCTCTCTAATCATAACAGTATGATTGTCCTATCTGTGTACATACCTGTATGTGTACGGTTCTCATTGTGTCAGAGCGAAAGAGCAAAGGAGAGAGCGAAAGACAGAGGTATCGAGACCACGAGAGAACAAGCAGTCTATGGTATGTGAGTGGGTACACATATATTGATTTGTCTATGTGTGTGCGAGGCTGAATAAGAATAGCCGTAAAATAGTTTCCGGCTCCCCTTCTTTCTCGCCGCCGACCATGTGAGTCCCAACGTTGGGTTCGGCAAGCGAACAGAGAGTCTTCATGGTAACGGGCCGGCGACGGTATGTTTGTGACGCGGTCCCAGCTGGCGCCGTCACATGCTCCCTTTTCTCATCGTGTCCAGGATCAAGCGACCAGGTTCCACGACACGGTCGCGCAGGTCTCTTGGCTCGGGATCGTTTATCGCGAAGATAAACGTGTCGATGTTTCAGCTAAGTTGTGCGTGCCTTTCTATATTAGTCGTAGTTGCTCGAGTCATAAACAGTACGCGAGAGTTCCACGTAAGTTACAGTGTTACATTCCTCTTTGTTCTTGATACAGCTGATGACGATCACGTAGTCGGAAGTTTACATTTCCTTTCGATGAAATTAAAAGTGCGCTGATATAATAAGTGCGGTAATCGATTTATTAATATTCAATTGACCGTGAGCGAAAATTGGAGCAAATGTATGTCATCTCTTTTAGTGCGCGATTTTTAAAAAATAATTAAATTTTTTTATGAATTATTTTATTATATTTTATGCTTTGGGTACAATAATGAGAGAAAAATATTCTTTTTGTGTGTGGAATCATTTATTATTAAAGTGTTCCTATATTAGCTTTTAATTATATCAATGTTCGATAAATATTATCTTATCGCAAGGCGATATAATCACAGTATAATATTAGAAAGAATGATAGAAGAAATAATATCAGAAACATAATCTATTAAAAGCGTTATATATAATATTAACTCTCTCAGCTTCCAATAAAATTATCTTGTGGAGTATGCATGTCATCAAAATGCATTTAAATGCATATTTTTAGCATAAATTAATAATGCAACATTTTTATGTCATTTACTGTATTTTAATATCAATAGCATAAATAATAAGCTATCAAATCTCTTTAGGTAAACATTATAACAAATATTTAATTTTTAAACGTAAGAGCTGAAAATGAAAAAAATATATTTAAAAAAATTGAAATGCAACTGTCTTGAAACATAAAAGAAAATGCAGAATCATGTTACGAGTACAGTGTCAAGATACTTACTTTATGAAAAGTGAAAGTGCTGTCTCCAGTGGTATAACTGATATAATCGTGAATTTTGTCAAAATTGACAAGAATCCGGCTCTTACTTAATCTCGAGTATATAATTTGGCAGTTTAAGGAGACAATAATTCTCATAATTGTGAAGACAATAGTTTTACGACAAGGAATAAATTAAGTATTATCTACTAAAAGTCGTATATATATAAAATGCATTTTGATTTATAATCTGCGTTGGTAATGCAATCGTTTCGTAATTCAAAGTGGCGCAGTGGGTCAATTGAGAAGATCAACGTTCTCTCTAGAAGATATTTGTATGTGCGATACGTATAGACACTTATCTGCATCATTCATTTAATTATGACGCTTTCAATCATGGTTAATTAATTAATCGGCGTTTAATTAATTAAAAGAAGCGCGTGCTGGAGAAGCGATAGGTTTAATGAAAAATTCAGAGATAACATACAATTAATTTAAAAAGGAAATATTAACTTTAAGGTCACGTTAAAAGATGAATTGGTTGAATTAAACTGCTAAATTGCTGAGAATAAGCTCAAACCGCTTATCTCTAAAATATATTTAATGAAAACGTAATAAGAAAAATGTGCATAAGCATACGTTGAAGTCATTAGCTGTAATATTTTATCCCAGAGTCTTTAGTAAAGCCTACGAGAAAATTTAAATTGACTGGTATTTATTTGTGATTCATGCTTATTTTAATTTAAATTTGAACAAAAAATTGCATGAAATGCAAACTATATACAAAAACAACTAAACGCGCGTACGATGAAGCAAAAATCAACTATATACAAAAACAACTAAACGATGAAGCAAAAATCATTATAATACAATCCAAAGAAACTCTGAAAACAAGTGATGTCACAACGAACACATTCGTGAAATATTATAACTGCACTGTGAATTTATCTCTCGGTTTGCTGTATTTTAGTCTAATATTTTTTCATAGTCACAGTTTTAATTTTTTAAACATCTGGTCAGTTTTAATTGAAAAAACGATTGAGCAATGTATCCGTTACGCACATAATAAGAGATTTATATTTTACCTTTGATTTTCTGTGTAATACTCGATTTTTCGTTTATCGATGACATCGACTTTTAATACAATATTAATGATCGAGTTGAAACTGAAAACATGTTTTTCATGTTTAACTCTTTTAAACTTCCTCTGCATTCGCACGAAATCAGATTATGCAAATGATTTTTATTGAGAGACATGAAAAGCGCTAACTAAGAGTATTTAAGTGACACATTATATATCGTAGAAGTTTTCTGAGAATTCTTTATACATATAAGAGCTAACTTTGCAGCGATCTAATATTAGTCGATGTGAGAAAAAATACGTTACGTGTGAAGAAAAATTAATTACTTCTTCTAATTAACATTAATGAATAAAACTCGTGTTACTTTATTTCTGTTTCTTAAGCGAATTCTTTTTGATAATTATGTAAATAAATTATAACATTATCATGTTGGTGCATATCGCTTTTACATTTCATCAACTTTAATTGCTAATTATATATTTAGTTGCTAACCAGTATTTATTTGTCACGGTATTTCTTTATATTTTTATACCGATACATCGTAATTTCAGTGTAATTTTAACCACATAATATCCAGCAACCGCGAAATGTAAAGTTAAAAAGTTTTACCAATTTCTCCATTTCTCTTTGAAATCCTCTTTCAACAAAGTGAAAGTGAAAAGTTAAATGAACGTATATTTAAAACTGTAACTGTAAAAATAAAATTTCTATATAAATTTTACCTTTTAAAGTTATAAATATTTTATTCATACATTCAATATACATATACATATATATTTTACAATTATGCAAGATATTGAACTAGAACAAAAACATTTATAGACAATATTATATCAATTTATAAACAATTATAAACAATTTTACCATTATATGATTGTTGAGATTCTGATGATTATTCAGCAGAGAGAATAATGAAAATTTCAATGGATAACAAAAGTGTTCGAAATCGCGCGCGATCACATTTGCATATCATATATGTGTGCAAATAAATAAATTCTCCATGCATTCGACATATCTAAGCACACATCTGTACCTCTCGATGCTTATTAAAATCATGTGTGTGGAATATATATATAGACCTTGTTTATGTATTATTCATGAACTATGTTATACATATATTTTGCTATCGTTTACGGCAATTGACGTGACGCACGTGCTGCTCATATAAGGCTCGATCTTAACAGTATTTAGTAGATATGTCTATTATATTTTTTCTAAAAGGCAATAGAAAAAATAACAATGGAAAAGATAACATTTTCTCGTTCTATGCTTGTTCTAGAACTAACTTTCTTACGCGTGTACTTCATATCTAATAAAGAAGAATAATATCAACAAGAGCCAGTATGGTCGAATTAATCATTAATTTCCTTATTATTATTTTTTAAATTCTCTCTGGCGAAGAACACAAATTTATTATTTCTTACACGTGTCTATACATGTTTATCTTTTATCCATCTTTCCGTACTATTTATAATCTATATATAATGTTATATTTATATAATAATTCTATCAATTTTTCCTGTGCAGTTATCGCAACACATGGATTTGTTATTTTCGGATTGATAGTTGTGTTTGCTGATCGATATATTTGCTGGATTTTCTTGAAAAATATTATTTTCAAGCGGCAAACGCAGAGGGAAGATAATATGTGATGCACTTTAAACTCTACAATAAACTTGCGCGTTTCTCTACATATTTTGTAGAGTAATATTCTCATAAAGAAACACTTTATTATATATAGGCAACAGCAATTTTATAAAAGTTAATGCTCGACTGAAGATGATGTCGCCGTAGAATGTTCGTGAAAGTTTTATTTTGGTCCTCAGACATCACAGATCAGTGAAAGTTGTTTCGGTTATTACCACCGGTTGTCCTTGAGCTCAGAAGCTTGAGATCAATAATTCTTCTTTTATCTTTTTAATTAACGATTGATGAATATGCGCGGCCAGCGAGAGTAATAAATACTTTGAATCAACCTGAAAACAATAGTCGCTAATTACGTTATCCATGTGTATAAATATCGAATATTGACACTCCGTGTTATCTTTTGCGAACATAATATAATTATCTCTGATAAATAATACGATAAGATTATCAGAATTTTTTCCGGCAATAAATTTAATTGAATCTCTCTATTGATTTAAATTCAGTATAAGCTCTTTCTCGCGCGATTTTCCTCGCAGAGTTGTCACGCAAAGTGAGAATTTGTACTAAAAAATATTTACCTGCAATGACATTCTATTACGTTATCGTGCATTCTGACAAAAGAAAAATCATGATTAAAGTTGACAACAGTTTCTCTCTTATTGATCGTGAACAATAAAGCTAATAAAAGCTGTCGCGAAACGACGACGACGATTCTCAAGCGTCTCAGATATTGGAGTATATACTGCTTCGGTTACTTGCTTATCTCTTTCTTTGCTTTCAGTCCGATCAGCCAAGGGGCTCACGAAGCTGAATGGATACTTTGGTGCCGTTATTTCTAAGAATTTGTAGTTTATCTACATTATGGCTTATCCTGTTACTATCACCAACCACTCTTGCCTCCTACAGTATTGGCGTCGGAAGAGCTGATAGCACAGGACCTACAGCGGAAATTGTTTTTGTTAGTATTTTGCAGAGTGTACATACTTGGAAGTACAAAATTAATACTTGGAGTGATTGTGAAGAGAGAATTTATTTGAATGAAATCATTCTCTTCCCTTTTTTCTCTTTGATGTTATGCTAAAAAGTAAAATATTACAAAATATATCTAAGCTGTTATCAAGAAAAATGAAAGATAACAAAATATATTCATAGCTAAATGGACAAATTAAAAAAAACAAGCAGACAATAAAGACAAAACAAATTGAATTGAGTTGTGTCTATTTCAGATGGGATATGCAAAAATGGATCAAAAAGGAAATGGTTTGCACCTCCGGACATTTTCCAGAGCTTTCATAATCGACGATGGCGTGGAAAGATTTGTGTTTGTGAGCGTGGATAGTGCGATGATAGGCAACGACATTCGACAGGAGGTAATACTAAATAATTAATTAATTATTTTTGGTCATACTGTATATTATATATATAAAGAGATTTTCATTTCTAATATGTTTTTATAAAATAAAAGAGTATAATATTTATCTTGCAATTTTTATTCCGTTACGTACTCGATAGAAGCATACTATATTTACATGGGCATTCAAGCCCATTAAAGCATCAAACGGTTAATTTACATTTTTTTACATTATTTCCGTATATTGTATAATGCAAGAATCAAAGAGTGTTCGCCTCTCTGCATAGATAAGCGCGCGATTTCTATTTCATTTTACAAGAACAATGTGCATTTTTGTTGCAAAAAATCGTCATCGCGTGATACTAATCACCTTTTTCCCTTCGCAGGTATTGCGCAAATTGCAGGTCCAATTTGGCGACATGTACACGGAGAGGAACGTGATGATTAGCGGCACGCATACACATTCGAGTCCGGGTGGTTTCATGCTTGACGTCCTTTTCGATCTGACCACATTCGGCTTCGTCAGGGAGTCGTTCAACGCAATCGTAAATGGCATAACGAAGGTGAGTCAATCGATGCAAGTCGATGCAAACAACAATCATCGCGCTGCCGCTTAATTCGCTTGATTAAAGGTAATAAACCATGGGATGACAACCGATATTTGTTCCAATCTTGCAGAGCATCGAACGCGCTCACGATGCAGTTGTGCCCGGAAGGATCCTGATTGCTCACGGTCAAGTTTTAAACGCTAATATTAATAGGAGTCCTCAGGCGTATCGGAACAATCCGAAATCAGAAAGAGATAAGTAAGTAATAAAGTGCTTGCAATTATTTTAAAGGATAGACAATTCGTCATTTATAATGTAATTATACTTATTAATTTTCTGAGAACATCGGTCAAAGTTTTCTCTGTTTTAGGAGGAAATTTATATATTTATTTAAAATGTTTAATTAGATATTTGTAAAAGCAGTGATAATCACACATACATTATATCTTAATTTCAGGAGTAAAATAGAATTTTAATACAAAAAAAGTTAATAGTATTTATGTTATTACACGAGAATATATGCAATTTTGCAGTAGATAGGTATAGCAATGTGCTCACACAAGCGACACACAATTTACGTTGCAATTGCTTAGTAAGGGGATTGCAGAATGCATTAGGTACACAGTGAATATTCGGGTTATTAATTCTCAGAATACTCAAAGCAATGTGTTCATAGCATATTGCATCATGTGTAACATATGTCGACGTATGTAAACCTATATGTAAGCTTGTAATATACGTAATATATGAACGTCCACTTATTGATAAATGTTTGCTTCGATAAATTAATCTTATACTACATGTTGAAATATTTCGTTGTCCGAATAATGCGCTTTCCGAAAGAAGCTTGCGTAAATGATTAATGTCCTCTCTATTTTGTTTAGATACGAGCACGATGTAGACAAAATACTAACACAGTTGCAATTTATCGGAGCCGACGATAAACGTCTCGGTGTCATAAATTGGTTCGCTGTACATCCGACTAGCATGAACAATACTAATCGCCTGGTCTCCAGCGACAATATGGGTTATGCATCGATCCTCTTTGAGAAGATGATGAATAATAATGCCGCGATCGGCAAGGTAAGTTTCCGTTAATGGATAGGCACCGCTAAAATTATGTCGTTGTTGTACGATATACAGACTGCAAGAGTTACACTGATGCTCTGTATGTAGCATCATAAATATATGTATATGTGTGTATATATATAGGATAGTTTCTTAATGGAAGCCACAATTTTTAAGACATGATAATCTGATAAAAAAGTCATGAACAGAAATAAAAATTAAATTGACTTGCAATAATCAAAATTAAAATTGGCTGAATATTTTTTGTTTGTAAGATTACATTGACTTCTTTAAATGGAACCATGATTTTTTTTATAATAATGTAATAGAGAACAGAAAAATAAATTCAATGGGTGCACACAATGTCATTTTAAGTCACATTACAATTTAATAAATTATTTTAAATTTGCTAGAGCATAATTCTTCGCTATCGAGGAACTAGAAATGTAAATAGTAAACAGACTCGACAACTTGACTTTATGTTGTGCCTATCATGCAGTTCAGCTATTAATATCAGTAAGCTTATTAATTTACCGTGTGTTTAAGTGTCTGATGTAATAAATCGTTATTGTAGTACGGAAAAGGTAATTAATTGACAAAGGTTACTAATTGATAAAGTAATTAAAACGATAAAAATAATTCAAACGATTAAATAAATAATTTATTTAATAAAATTAAATTAAATAAAATATTGCAAACAATTAAAATGATTAAAATACATATTTGAATTATCGATATTTTGCATTTTTATAAATGCCAAATCAATTAAATTTAATTAAATAATAAATTGGGTTAAATTAATTAATTGTCTTTAATTTATATGTAAATATAAATCTGTCAAATATTTTGTACTAAAAAATATTTTACTTTTTCCGCTCTCTACGTGGATTTAAGAATGACAATTGATTAGCAGATTCCGGTGAGATATGGTATACTGTATTATAGGGATACTGTTGTAGAATAAAATTTATAACAAAATTAGAAAAATTGTGTGATGTTGCTGCGGATTTTAAATGGACCAGAACACGTGCAAAATTAAATACACGAGTATTTCGACGTTTAAATAAATGTGCACATTTTATGTGCACTTACAAATATTGCAGATCGCGTGCGGATAGCAGTTTTATGAGCTTCTCTATTCTCTGGCTCTATAGTGCATAGATTGCATGCATTCACTATTATTATTTTTTTTTGCTATCAGGCTGACTCCATTAGTTCTTCTTGTCACGTTGGTGCTGCATGTTTTGCTAGTTTTTCTCTTTATTTTCTCACTTTTTTACCGCTCAATGCCATTAATCCTTAAACGTTGCACTGCGATAGCCGTTTGCATTTACATTTCAGGCAATATTAACCTCAGGAGCTTTAATAAAAATTCTCGGATGCGTACTGTTCACTGGCAAATTGCAAAATTATGAACCATTAATGTAATGCAGGTTGTTCGTTTCATATAAATATATACGATATCACTATAAATCACAATTTCGCTCGCGAGATTCGATTAAAACAATTAAGAGTTAACGTTACTTTATTTCCATTCAAAATATAAGTTTCACCTCCTATTGTGATTCGCGAAATAAAACTCTGAATATATTTATAGCATCATAGCACACTCATTTTTCATACTTTATATTGTATTCTTTGTGCAAGCGTATTTCTTTGTCTTCAATCACATCTATGTAAATATATTGTTTAGAAAAATCGTAGGAAAGACTACATTAGATAATAATAATGTTTAAATAATAATGTTTATTGAAATAGCAAATATCTCTGTATATTCGCAACTCATATGTCACAATATTTTTTATTTAGGGTCAGTTCGTGGCAGCCTTCGCCTCCACGAATCTCGGTGACGTTTCGCCAAATACACGTGGTCCCAAATGCGAATTCTCTGGGCAGAACTGTTCCGATCAGTACACATGTCCTGGAAAAAAAGAGAAATGCTTCGCTTCCGGTCCCGGCGAAAATATGTTTGAGAGCACGAGCATCATCGCTCACAGGATATACCAGGAGGCCAAGGTAAGTGCACTATTTCCTGTTGACATCGTCTGACAGGTTCCCGCCTGTTCATTCGCCAAATGCTCGTACAGTAATAAAATACAATTTATAATTCCATATGCAACGATGATACGTTTCACGGTATGTTAGATACTTCCTGAAATGCTTCGCCATATCCGCTTTAAAAAGTTGAGCAAAAAGATTTGACGCTTTCTCTAGCTACCGTCCGTAATCACCAAAAGTTGATGCTAATTGTAAATAAAGATCGATTAGCTATATATAGCGCGAAAATGTAATATAATTGGAAAACGTGAGCTTTACGGAATTTTATGGCGCTTAAATTTGAGCGACAGAGAAGCAGGAACTGAACGTGTTATTGTTCGGATCGAGCATTTTCTTCCATGTATACGTGTATGGCTAATTATGTCTAGTGAAACTTATTAGCCGCGCAAACGAAGCCACCGACGCATCAAGATAGTTATCGAATGAATTAAGTAACTTTATGCGCGCAGCCGTGATCCATTAAGAGCGATACGCTAATTAAGAATGAGACATTGGCACTGAAAGTACTGCAGCACATTAACTCATTAAAGGCCACGACGTTAACTGTAACACAAAAGAGAGAATTTTAATTGCATGCGAAAACAATTATCCTTCTTCATAAAAATGTAAAGTCAACATTATGATTATTAGATAATTAACAATTTTTAATATTTTACTTTTAATTATGCGGCTAACAATAAGAAAATATTGAACAATTTTTATTGCAACCGTTGATGTCTTTTTCTTCGTTGTTATTTAATTAGAACGGTTGAGAACGAAGAGAGAAAATTATCCTTCTCGCAATTTTCTTAGATTTAATAGTATATTTTTTCGCTCTTTTTAAAATTATAATGATGTATTAATATAAAGTTTTTGGAGCGAAACAAAATTGTTTATACGTTATTGAAGAAACAATTTAAACGTTATTGGAGAAACAAAGCTGCTTACATCTCATTAAAATTTGTTTGAAAGATCACATGTTACCTCATTATGAAATTCCTCTTCGCTGAAGAGAAGTTGAATGACAGCAAAGCTGGTCGGAAACTCTATATAACATCTAAATAATCTTAGTTGTGCTATTCTACATCTAAATAGAAAGTAAAGCCGGATAAAACGTGAGAATATAAATTCATCGTTCATTTATTTTCACTTTAATACAAATAATTTTTATATTGTTTCGTTATTATTATCATTTTTTATACAAGTTTTTTCTCCTTAAATGTATTATAATATATTTTATGCACACAATGGAGTTACAAAAATAACTTAACAACTACTTTTGCTCTTTTAAATCTGTTTTGTAACCTGTTGATCGTATTCTAAATATACATTTAATTCTTTCTTTTTTATTTTAATTTAGCATTGAATTTTTTATCCCTGTAAAAAACTTTTTCTTCTCTCTTGAAATTCTAAAATTTGAATTCAAATTCATCACTATATGTATATCTATTGCATATATAGATTGTAAAAATTTTCGAATGGTAATATAAGGCAGTAAATTTTCATTTATACATCCTGTTCAAAATTGTGATACATATTTATGTATGTAAGTTGTACGACATCTAAAATTGAACGCAAAAGAGGCACCGCGATGATAGATGAAATTTGTGTTATGACGCCGTAGTAGTCATCGTAAATATAAATCAATATACTTTAGACATGCGCGGTTACAATTCGTGTTCAATATCGAATAATCTCTTTTTTTCAAGGGGTGTAAAATATTTTTCTGCACGAGTTTCGAGCGGAATGTAAAATAAATAGATAGAGAATTGCATTTCTGTTATCTGCAGAAGTAATAGGCTTACGAGTGTTGACATAGTTAATACAATCGGGCGCTTCTGGAAATAAAGCGTCGGATGAATGAAATGAATAATTAAGACAAGACTACATTTATTTTGACATACGGCAACAGAGATTAAATCAATTGTGTCAGCAGAAAGGTCGATGTTTTTCAATAATCTCAGTTATAAATTAGATATTACTTATCGCACAGTTAAAAGAAACCCGTAATTCTAACAGAGAATCCCTTTTAGAAGCTATCTTAAGTCTAAGAATAGACGAACCAAATTTTTTTGTCTTTTTTTTTCCTTGCTATTGTGAATCACAATGTTCGGTAGCCAATCGAAACGTCCAATTGAAAACGTAGTTCGCTGTCGCAGTTGACTAGCAGACTGATTATCGGCTAATGCCCCTCAGCGAAACGCCCGATTCGACGTTGTATTTACACATTTCGGAGGTCCGAGAAGTCCGCTAATAGTGCTTCTCGTAGTCGTAGCTGTTGTAGTGCGCAGGCGAGACGTACTTGACGATCGGCACCGGTTGCGGATGCACCGCCGGTCCTACCTTCTTCACGACGGCGTTGAACCCGTTGTGATCGTCCGCCGTGTATTCGACGATACGCACGCTTCCGTCAGGCTCGTTCACGCTGTAAGAACCGTGGACGACGTCGCCGTCTCGCACCTCGTGCTGCGTCTTCACGTCGCCGGTGTGAGGATCGTGAACCCCGTAATTGAATGTGTATCTCGGGTGCGACTGCAACCAAAATAATGTATCAATTTTAGTCATTATTAGACTCGTGAATATTTTAAAATTAATAATAATAATGTAAATAATATGAAATTAGGATAAGGCTCGTGTATAAATTAAAATCAAACAATACGATAGTAGGCCAACTTGCGAGCCGAATGATTAAGAAGTTACGAGATTCTTTATTACAGGCATACAAATAAAAAATAATAAAGAAATAATAAAATTAATCCAACAGTTGGGAAATCAATTAAATAAATATGTTTAAAAATTAATAAGAAAAAGTAGGCCAATTAAACGAGCAAGGAAATTGTAGCGCCTCCTTGTCTGACCCAAAATGGTCTTTGACTACTTAATATGTCAGGTGCTAAGATTATTTGAATATCGCGGATTTGTTAACTTATTTTTGTTAAATTAATGGCAATTTTGATATTTTGCAATCATACAGAGTGTCCTGCACCCAGTGAATAATTGATTTAAAGTAGATTTCTAACGTCATTTGGAGACGGTTCTTTTTCAGCGAAAATGTCGAGGCAGCAATTAAATAATTTTTGAGTTATAAACAATTGAAAATAAAAGGATTTTGCAAACCAAATTTTGTGGAAACAAGATTATATTTTTCAATTAATTTCAGGTAGAGTTTATCTTAATATAGAATTTTAATTTAAAGGTTACAAAAAGATTTATAATGGCAAAAATTGGGAACATGTAAAAAATGATGACCTCCCTCGACATCTTTGCTGAGGACAAATCTCCAAACGACTTTGGGAATGTAACTGTATATCAGTGATTCGCTGGGTACGGAACATCCTGTATGTAGAATCGAATTTTGCAACGCCATAGAAACAGAAAATGCGCCGTCACACGATATTACCGTCGAGGTGCCAGTGACAATTAACATCGTGCGAGAAAGCGATGGCAATAAGCATTTGCGGAAACAGAGTTGACAATGAGATATAGCGAGGAAATACCGTTGTCGTCAGACGCCTCTTTTCCGAGACAGGAATCTAAATTAACATAACGCGTCCTTCTGGGTAGCCTGAAAACACTTCTTTCCGTCCATAAAACACAGCCTAGCGTCACTCGAGACTCGGGACATCTTGACACTTTACAGGAAGCCGTACGCGCAAGAATTTATATTAAACGCCAATTAGCAAGCGAACAAGTCGAAGCGCGATTGTGCAGTATTTTTATTCTAATTAAATTACACACAGTAGCTAACAGATTGTCGATATGACAGAACAACTTTCATGTTTCTATTTTTAATTAATGTAATTGCTGAATAAGAACAACACTTGAAAAGGACCACAATGTGGGTCGAAACGTAGTGTGTACTTATTTTCAATAAATGAATAGCCAGTTTTCGGTCGAATTAAATTGCATCTTATTATTTGTGATAATTAAATTACGTTTTCGAGAAATTTGAAGAATCTTTCGAGGAAATCTTAAACGATTCGCGAACCTCGCGTGACATTTCCGCTACGCACTCTCTCGCGATAAACGTGAATAAGCGTAAGGCACTTGTGAAGAGAAGCACTTACGTAATAGTCGTGATCCTGCTCGACGTGTTTGTAGCCGTGGTGGTCCAGGGATGCATCCAGGTGTAACGGTGCGGCGGACACCGAGTGCACCGGGACGGCGACGGTAGGCAGAACATTGTATCCGGTGGATTCTATGTATCCATCGGCGAGATCGCCGTAATCGCTGTAGGACAGGCCATGGCCGTTGTAGCCGCTGAGAACAACCGCGTTAGCGCACGCTAATACGGCGCAAAGGAAAGAAGCCGTCTGAAAAATCGCAATATACGCGGTCGTAAATTTCTTCTGTGGGAAAACGACATTGTTAACGTAACAAATTATGCCAAGTTATGTCAAGGATGCCTCCTCGACAGTGTGCCTTCTGACTTGTCTTACTTTCTTCTTTCTCGCGATATTTTCTCGATATTTTTCCATTTTTTTTTTTTTTTAATGCGTGGAATAAATGCAACCACAATTGAATCCCACTGTGTGCACCGTAGATTTTCATTAGTGGAGGATCAATTGAAGGGATTTGGAAAGTCGTCGTTGATTTATCTGGAAAAGTCTCCGGGGACACGCGCCTCGGATTTCGATATATTTTTTTACGCTTCTTCGGATCGGGAGTCCTTTCAGTGAGAAAAGACCGTCCTTTTCACTTTCACGCCGACCTTGTTACTCGCAGGCCAGGCCAATAGATCGTAAGTCAATACAAAGTCGCGGAAGTGGTTAAGGATTCCGCTTCCTCATTTCGTCGCGATGGAGATGATATATCGCGAAAAGGTTTATTACGCCCTCGGCAAGAATATTCATGCCTGAGAAAGCTAGCGTGAATTTCTCGAATACTTGGATTCGTGAACCGGAAAATCGGAAAGAAATAAAGAAGATATTGAAGATGTTATATAACTGAATTTGCATTCATAGCAATATTTGATGAATTAAATGTTGCATTTAAAAATTATGCAAACAGACGACACTTTGAATGAAAAAAAATTTTTCATTTCTAAAATTTCTAAAATTATAAAAGTTTTTAAATTATAAAAATTAAATTATAAGAGTTCCATATGAGTTTTCGAAGAAGTAATAATTTTAAATATTCAATATGAAAAGAAATTGACTTACTGAGCAATTTCATGAAAAAATGAAAACGAAGGGAAACATTTTTCCATACTTTCATTATTTATAGAATCTGTAAAGACATATAGAGAGGTGAAATAATTCAGAAGATTTTTCTTGCACCATTTAGCATTATATAAATATAATGCTAAAAAGCTTTTCAGCATAATACAAATATTATATAATGCTAAAAAGCTACGGAGTAAAAAAATTGTAAATCTACCCGATTATACGTACAAATAAATTTTTCATCTAACTTTAAGACCTAATATCGTTAGTTTTCTCTCTCTCTTAACGTTATAAAAATAAAGAAATTTTTTTTTCATAATTAAATCTTAAGGAAATAATTTCGAAATATCTCATATATAATCGGTTTGACAAGAAACAAATTTCCGGAATTATTTTTCTTGTTCTCTTGGCAAAAAAATCAAGAAAATTACATAAATTCAGCTGTTACGTGTAATATTTGTAACAAATACTCGACCGAGGGAAAAGAAAAAACGAGAGAGTTAAGGGAAATCCTTGATAAGGGCGTCCTAGAAGCGAACGCGGAAACGCACGCGCACACACACACACACACACATGTACACATAGAGAGCCACCCATCCACCCGTTCATATCGCACACCTAACTCGAGCCGCGCTTCTCTATACCTTCAGCATGATGCGTTTTCCACGTTTCCACGTTTTACTGTATGCGAGACCGAGTCGCCGAGTCGCGAAGTTACTGATAGCATTATTCCCAGACGATGGGCTTATATTCATCTCCCACCTCACGGTGGTTCCGTTCCGGGCAAAAGCTTTCGGCCTCGTGTGCCACCACTCTTCCAGGTTGATGGTACCCTCCCCAGCTCTTTTTGTCTTGGTGTGTAAGAAAACGACGGGATCTCCACGTGTGCTGACACACGTCAACGTTAATCGCTCGTGCGAAAATCTCGCGAAAGGGATTCGATCGGCTGGTATTCGGGCAGAACGCTCACGTCGATTCGACGGAACGTTGTATATGAACGGGAGATTGATTAGTCGTTGCAAAGGTTACGGGAATAGTCTCGCTGGTTAATTGAACGGGATGGATGGGATAGAGCCCGTCTGTTCCTCACGGACGTTACTCGTGCGAATCCTACGGTTAGTCGTTAAAAGATGTAGCAGATTGATTCGACCGTCAGAGACGATTATGTTGAAAGAATAGGAAAGAGAGAGAGCGAGATAATCGCCTACGGATAAACCTTATTTCTCGAGTTGTTCGCTGTTGTTACACTGTGTATTTAGAAATAATTCATTCCAATGAATTCCAAAACGGCGGAAGGCAGTCAAGTGAACGTGAAATTGTAATGGGAATCAATTTAAGAGCGAATGCGAGCGTTAAATGATTCGATATCTATTATTGTCAATCTGAATGGAAAAATGTAATCGCGTTTAATTATATGTTGACCGTAATAATACTCGTGCACATTATGAATAATAATTTTCGAAATAGAAGATAATGTTGGACTGAAAATTCAATTTATTAACGTATTTACATTCGAATTTTTATATATATTTTATCCTGAAAAACAGGACAGAAATTTAATCCTTTCCTTTTATGTAAAAAATTTAGATCCTATTAGAAACATATATGTTTTTATTACTTTTTTTATTAATATTTTATGTAAAAATATTTGTATCCTTATTTTATTAAAGTTTAATTTTCTGACGAAACTTTACACAGCGCATTGTTCGCATATAAAAAATGCAATGCGTAATTTTATAAAGAGATTTGAATTTTTGCTTTAAATTTCCGAGATTAATGTTTACTCGATTTAATTACAATTTCTCTCTTTTTTTCTTTTAATGTAAAAAAAAGTATCCGATATTACTTATTCATCCTTGTTCCTGAGTGTATAAATATTACGCCATGCTTCTCTTTCTCTCTTAACGTAAGTGAACGTTCTTTCATTTCTGTACACAAAGCCGAATTAATACTATTCTTTTTCTTTTTTTTTGCAAAACAACGTATTTTTTTCCCGCGAAGAGAGAACGCGCGGATAATTAATACAGCGAAATTTACGCCTAATTCTATTAATCACGAAATAAAACCGGACTATTACGCATATTACAGAATATCCTGAGAGAAAAAGTGATATATTCTTTAATTACGAAAAACTTGTTACCACGTGTTTATTCTTAAACAGAACTTTGGCAAGTGCGACTTACGAAATTTAAGATTAACAGCTGTGTGATTTTCATAAAAAATAAACGTAAGTAATTGTAAGATATTTTTTGTTGCACAGATTTTGCTCTACATAATCTTTCTTATTTTATTGTAAAACTGCGAAAGAAAAAATTTAGATTGTTATCTTCTACACTGAAAAAAATGACTAAATTAATAAATATTTATTTGAATACTCCCAAATGAATTATTTATTTGAAATAAATAAATACTTAATTTGTTTTGAAAAAGATTTTCTTATATCAAATAAATATTTTTCACATCAAATCAATATTATTAGCTTCAAATAAATAATTCATTAGGCAGTATTGAAATAAATATACTTATATTCGAATTCAATAAATGTTTTTTCAGTGTAATCAAAATGACATTCTTTTGCAAAAGGAACGGTTTTAGCTCTTGCAAGTTTTGGTCGAGAAAGGCGTGGTAGCTTCTGTTCTATTCCTCACTTACGCAATTCTCGACAAAGCCCGTTTGTCTTCGCAACGGTGCAATGCTATTTTTTGCCTCGCACGTATAAGGTACACATCACCATCGTTCCGTGAACGTAACTAGCTTAAGAAAAAAAAAAGAAAAACGATTGGTCCCGCCCGAATGATTACTCGATCTATCTGGATCAAGATCATAAGTGACAAAACCTTTCGATCTCCAGCCCAAATTCTTTTGTTGCGCATTTATGTAATACTAACATAAGCCGGACACTATTGTTCAATGTTTTCCTGAGATTGCATGAGTCCATTATTTTTATGTGATATGTCGAAATGTATTACTTTAGTAATGTGTGTGTATAAAGTATGTTTTTTATGATTGCTTGCGGTGATATCGAATTAGAGATTGATCGATCACATATATAAAGTTCCATTCTTTATTTCTTAGCTTGTTGCGATATTTCTTTCTTACAAATAAATTTAATCTTGAAAAAATATAATTTTAAACAATTTTCTTGAAACAAATTGTATTATCCGTAAGAAAAATCGAAAATATCGCGACAAGCTAAGAATTATACATAATTTATACATAATACATAAATTGTAATATCAATGAATAATTCACTTTACGTTTATCAAAGTACACAGTTTATGTCTTCTCTTATCCGATCCGCTTCTCGTTTATCACGCAAACTGGATCTGTGTAATGCCGAGTTAAATCGCCCGATCGTCGTCACGTTCGCGAACGTTTCGCAATCGGCGAAGGCGCGAAATCGCGCTCCAGATTCAGACTCGAGATGCTGCGATGGTTTTCCAGCAATTTTTTCTTTTGCTTTTTCTACCGATGACATTGCCTTCTGAACGCATAATTGAAGGTTACCCGCTTCCGCGGACGATTTCGTTAACCGACGACGAGATATCGCCGCTTTCTTTCGACTCCAACGAGCCAGCCCGTTTCTTACGCAGTCGCTTATTACCCGACACGACGACTGTGGCAACAGAATTTCATAAGGGAGCTTGGTGCCACGCTGAGTTAAGTTCGGTCATCTACTTGGGCGTTTGTTGAGAGAACGACGATAACGACGACGATGACGACAATGAAGTAGATATTCACAGATAATTTATTCTGAGCGGTTTGCCTAATGCTCTTTTCATACCTATAATACTTGAAAAGATAAACGGAATTATAGTCAGGATGATCCGTGTAAGAAACTCTCTTTTTCTAAAAGAATCATTTTTAATTTTAATTTATTATTCAAACAATTTTTTCCTTTAAAATTTATTTTAACTTTCTTTTCAAAATAGAAAAAGAAATGTCACATAAATATACAAATTAATATGTAAAATACATATATATATATATAGATGAAGTACCTTTTACCATAGTTTGTGGTTTTTTATGAAAAATGCACATTGCATAACGATCTTAATTTTACATTCTACTATATTTACCGTTCGAGATCCGTTTCGAAAGAACAAAAACTAGTGCGCAAGAAACGATGACGAAGACTCGATGAGATCAATCCATTTATCCCAGATCGCATAATAAATGTGTCAGCATCCGCTGGTTGATCGCGAGTGTGTGAAGTATAGAAATGTACGTCCTTCGTAGACTCCAATTTAGATGACAAAATAGGGCGTGACAATTGACATGTAACAATAGACTCGTCTAAGGGTCGTAACAGTAGGATAACAGGTATGATGCCGTAATGATCCTTTCTCAAGGCTCAATAACTCAAGACGTTATTTGTCTGTTCATAAAACGTATCTATTCGGCGAGAGATCTCAAATCCTCGACAAGGTTTATAGGTTTACTGCCAAATATAGTTTGTTCTGCATGAAATAATTTGTGATGCATCCTATTTACGCGAAACCACGTAAAAAAATATATAATATTTGCAAATCAGAAAAGTTTGTATAAAAATGTATATTTACATTTTTGCACGCAATACTATCTTGCAAAAATTTCACTAGGAAACAAATACAGTTGTGTTATTTTAAAAACGTGCGTTTTTGATTTTAACTCAGCTATACACGTACGCTCGAATTAGTAAAACCCATTTAATTCTTTTTTTTACCGGCATGCAACACAATTTTCGTTTTTGCCCGACTGTAGAGTATCACAAAACTATGGAAATGCGCGAGAGAAAATTTTTTATTCTTTTATTAAAGCAGAAAATGTGATTTTCTGTGACATTTAACGCAAGTAAAAACATAATAAAATTTGATTCTATACTGTAGCTTCTTTATAGCCAATCAAAATAATATTAAATCAAAATAGTATGCAGCGTCCGATATTAATTCGATATTAAATATCATGTGATATCTTTCTCACTCTTCTTCACAAACAAGATTTGGCAAAAGACACTTATTGTTAATCACATAAATACATATATAAATAGAACGTGGAGTCAATATTCTCCCGCTGGACAAATACCACATGTGTGATTGTATCACTCTTTCTCTCTTTCGTCTAATACTTCTCTCGAAAGAAAAAAAAACGAATAGAGAAGGAAAAAGAAAAAATCTCGTTCATCACGCAACAGTGCGACAGAACAAATATGACCTTCTTATAATTCGTCTCTTCGATGGAAGGATCTTTCAGCGGGTCTATTTTGTCATCGGTGGAGTCTAATGTTCCATTCCGCGACCTGGAAGAGACCTACAAACCGTCTCCGTTACGATTCTAATAACCGTGAAGTCGTGAAAGGTTTATTCGTGACCGTAATGCCAAAGAGCTCGGCAGATACGCTCGATGATACGTGAACAAATGTACTGTAGACTGTAATGGAGAGAATGGCACCCCTTATTATGTATATAATGGTAACTTCGAGAAATATAGCGCAATATAAAATTGAGAAACGTCGTATTGAGCGAGACTTTCTATATCAAATTAAGTCCCACGAAGCTCATTAGACAGATTGGGTTCAGGGTCCTAATCTTGTTTGCTAAAATATTAATAATAAGTTTTATACACGGCGTGGATAGCTTTCGAGATAAAACGCGAGAAAAGGCGAGGCTACAGATTAAAATTCAATCTCGGGCAACGTTGGATTAATTAAGCCTTATCAGTTGTGGGGT